CCCCAAAACCCCAAAACCCCAAAACCCCAAAACCCCGAGCGTTTTTAATTTCATTGAAACGCTTCACTAGATCAGATACCTTGCTTAAATATGTTATTAATAACGTGACTCCATCCTAGTGGGCCGAGTCAGGTCACCATGCTATACTGGCCAAGACATAATCTTATGTTGTCCAAGAATTAAGCCTCACAAATATTGTGACATGTCTTCTTATGTACTTTTAAGTTGAACTTGGTGGAGTACTTCTTGTAGCAAATCTCGCACTGGAACTTCTTTTTATTGGTCCTGCTTGCACCTCTATGGGTCCTCATATGCCTCTTAAGGTTTCCTTTCTGAGCAAACCTCTCTAAGCACATGGTACACTTGAAGGGCTTTTTGAGAGTATGTATATTAGCATGTTTGATAAAATTATTTTGCTGGTTAAATTCCCTCCCTCAATTCTTATAACGACACGTGAAGATCTTTCTATTCTGACCAGTAGCCTCATCAGTAATAGTAGCAACCTCATGAGGAAACTGATTCACTTCATCCATATTTTCTGACAAAGGACTTTCATCAGAACTATTAAAATGATTCTTCATTTCTGTTGGTGCTGGAAGAAGATCTGAGCAGCAGGAAAGTCTCTGAGTCAACTCATCAAGAGCAAGTCCCTGCTTCTCTTCTAATGGCTTAATAGAGCTCTGGAGCGTTTTTGTTTTGGAAGGGATTCCAGTGACGAACTGGTCTGCCAAACTTTGTTGTCTTTCAGTAGCCACAATTTCCAAATCAGACTTATTAATCATGTCATACTTCATTGATGAAACTGTCATAGTCAGGAAGTTCAATCAGGAATCGGGAATTGGTGCTTCGAGAGTCAATGTCAAAGTATTTAGGGGTAAGAAAATCTTATCCTCTTTAATATCAATCTGAGGGATGATGCTTGTGTGGTTATTCATTTTTCTTATGTTTGTATTTGCAATAGTAATAGAAATAAATTATTATTTATTCCATTTCAGTAACTTCTGACATAAAAGGGGTTTTGGGGTTTTGGGGTTTTGGGGTTTTGGGG